AGTCTTTAAATAGTAAGAGATACCATTTCCAATTGTTTCAAGTTCCATTCGATATCTGTTTCATTCATGACTTGGAGGGTTGGGATAATAATGGACGCATGTAAGACCCGGGATACGCCACCAACATCTGCAGAGTGTCCAGGTGTGGCATAATCTGATTTGCATATCCTACAGATATTAATGCAACGCGTAATGTCATTGATCAAGTGTCGGGGGATTATTCCCGGCAAATGTAGGGCCATATAAAGTTTATTCTTACTTGATCTCGCCACTCGCTAAGGGGAGGGTTGTTTGCAGTTAATTGATGCACTGTTATGGTCGCATTGTATTGAGAAGGAAAACCAAACTAAGAGAATAGCAATGAATAGACAAATACATGAATGAATACGTGCATTGTACATAGATCAATAGAATATAATGGGAATAAAGTACATCGGGCCAAGCCCGGTCACGTGAATTAATCAATTCGCCGTCATCCTCGCCGGCTTTGACCACAGGATTATCTCCCATCATCACTCTCCTTCACCACCGCCACTCATCACCCACCCAATCTTTACCACTCGCAGGGATTCACTCTAGCCCCCTGGAATGAAGACGATCTAGTCCGCCCGTTGAATGACCTGCCCGCCTGCCTGAGCGACCGTCGACCGTGATCGGGAATCCCCCTCTCCAGGCCCTGGTATCAAACTTGCGATTCGGACCCAGAGCCGCTCTGGTTAATACCGTCTCTGCATGCTGAACTCTTCCTCGGGCTCTCATGTCTGATCGCACTCACCCCACCTCCTTTCAAGCAAGACCTCCTTCACCCTCCTCGCCCGCCGGGTCTCTGAAAGAGAACCTCCGGTTCCCTATTTCTTCGGACCACATTCCCCAGACCCCGATATCACCTCCGTTGATGTCGGTGAGCGAACCAAGTCATGCCGCCAACTTCATATCATCACCGAATCAGGCGACGGTCCACTCTCCGAACATCTCCTCCCCTCCGTCCTCTGCGCCAATGTCTACCCAAGTCTCCCAACAGCCCACAATGAGCACCACCAATGCATTCCCCACTCCCGCCAGCAGTGTCAGTGGACACCCTACTGCGAATTCGGACGATGTGGATCAGGGGAGAAAATCTTTCAATATGGGGATGCAGGACTCGGCAGAAAACTCGGGAGCAAGTCCCGCTCAGCAATCAACACAGCACAGACCGACCGACCACGATCGGCAATCTTTGCAAACAGACAGCACTGATTTTGCCACCGGGCAAGGTCAATATTCGACAGACTCCGACACGATGGATGTGAATAAAGGGTCGACTCCGGCAGACACCCTCAGTCTCGATCTCGATTCTCTTCAGAAAGAGCTAACCTCGGCTTTTCATCTTTGCAAGAGATGTAAGATTCCCCAAAACGCATCATGCCATCTACTGTGTGCAGCTCCATGAATGTACTGATCTTGCACATTCTTGGGACTGAAGTTGTTAACACTGCTTTTTCCTCCTTGACAGCTCCGATCGTTACTGGTCCCGACCCTACAGTGGATCTCGTCTCTCTCTATGGGTTAGGCCCGATCGCACACTCGGTAGCACGCATGGATCCGGTGACAGGGGAGAAGATCAACCGCTTGAGGAAATCATACGAAGGAAAGCTGAAAGGACTGGGACTCTCTGGGCGAAACAAACCCGTCAAGAAGGAGATCGGCACCCCTGGCAGTCTGAGGTACATGACTCTATGGCCTGAAGAGGAATGGCAGAACCAGAAGGTGCATGGCAAGGCTATCAAGGTCTCAGACATGGATTCGGCGCTACAAAATCTCCACTCGCGAGCCATGCAAATGGAACCCGGACCGATTCCCAACAACGATTTCTGGGAAGATATCTTGGGTCATGAAAAGGCGGCCAAGAATCCAGCGCCAGGCGAGCTTGGCAAGAAGGCTCCTCCCGCTCCTGCTGGTCGCTTCTCTTCTCAATCCTATGTCCCATCTCCGCAACCACAGGAAGCAGATCGGCCACGGCCTAGCAGGGGTCGCAAAAGACATTATGATGACAATAGCTTTGCCGGCTATGGCGAAGGGTTTGTGGACGATGATGATGACCCCGGATTCTACTCGAACGGCGAGGGAACTGGGAAGAAGAAACGCAAGAAGGTAACGCATCCCCATGGCAACTAATTCTGTTGATAAAAATTAATCTAATCAGGGTCACGTCGCTAAGGTGTCAACCCCTATGTCCGAAAGAAGCGCTAGCTACGGGGTAGGCATGTTCGGCATTGGGGCCAGATGACGAAATGGGTTCTATGATCATTTCGAATCAACCAAAAGCTGTTTCTGTTTAATTTTTTTTTCGATGAAACACCAATTCTGCCCATATTAACCTAGGGGTGATGGGGGTGACGGCTCGGCTCGAGTCTTGCTACCGGCAAGGCGCGTGTACTTCATGCCTCGTTCCCTCCCCCTTGATCTCTTTTTTTCATTCTCAGTACATGTTGCATCACGGTGCTGGATATACCCGGCTTCATCAATCGGACGGCGTTTTGGGCGGGAGACAAAGTTATCCAAAGTGGATATGATCAATTGCTTTTATTTCGTAAGCTTTGTTTATTCCCTGCCCTTCTTTTTTTCTCTCTGTTCTTCTTATATCTCGCGCACAGCTATTCGAGATCTGCTGCTGTAATGGTTGGTTATTCTGATTTTCTTGACGGTTTCTTATGCTTGCAGCTTGTTTCCATGATTCTTCTACCGGCCACCCTCGATGGTCTGCTGTGTTCATCAATGATTACAGGGAGTGTGCATGACACTTCCTTACATTTTTTTTTACATCCATGAATTTTTGGATCCTCGGCCTTGGCAGCGTGGAGATATCATTCCGCGATGACGAGGCGAGGAAGAATTAGTCAATCGATTCAATAGATGACAAGATGCTTCATTGGACAGTAGAAGCTGCATTTGGAATATGTAGTCGTAGTCGGCTTGTAGTTGATATGCCCAAATAGCTTGTCTCCTTGGTTTGTCAGCGACTTCAAATATCTCAGGGCAGCATTCATCAACTCTCCCCCTTGCTCTTCTCTATTTCAATACGCTCTTCCCCTGATCTTCCCATCCACGATACACATCACATATTATGTGGGTATGCGGGGTATGGAGTTCATCTGCAGCTTAGCTGCACCTCTCCGATGTTTGTGACAATACGATCTCTAATTGGACGAGAATACGGAAATCTTCAGGCTCATCACAATGTCACCAAAGCTAATTGTAGACCACTCAGAGGCTTGTCATTTCAGTCATGTGGCACAAGAGCTGCGAGCTCCTACCTGCATACTTGGCGCTTGTGACGAGTCCTTTCGTCCTACTGATAAGTACAAGTGGGTTGCCATATTTTGAAGATTCCCAACTCCCTCTCTAGTGTATACGCACCATGCCGTCGCCTATTCCCCAGCCTCAGGGGCTTCCAATTCTGGGAAATATCTTCAATATGATCCCTGGCAATACCTGGGCTTCTTTAAATAAGCTGGCAGCAGAACATGGTGGAGCTGGTATCTTCAAAATCAAAATCCTCACCAAGCAACTTGTCTTCATTACAAACGCCGCTCTTCTCGAGGAAATCTGCGACGAGAAGCGCTTCCGAAAATGCGTCACCGGTCCGATTGTCGAAATCCGCAGTCTTGTCCACGACAGTCTGTTTACTGCGTTTGACAACGAGGAAAGCTGGGGCATCGCGCATCGAATCATGGCTCCGTTCGTGTCGCCCGATGCTGTCAAGGAAATGCACAGGGATATACAACTCACGACGGACGACTTGATCTGGAAATGGACTTCAACAGAGAGCACCGGGCAGCGCGTGGATGTCTCTAATGATTTGGACCGACTCAACCACGCTGCCAACATGAAATGCTTTTTCGGTCAGTATGTAGACTGTGTCCTTGGTGCAGAACCCGCCGTCATCAAAACAATGTCAGACACGACCTTTGAAGCCGTACGTCGGCCCACGCGACCTAAGCTCCTCACTCGACTCATGTACCAGAGTACATTCGACAAGGATATCAAGATATGTCGCGACTATTGCGCGCAGATAATCGCCAAGCGACGCAATAAGCCTATAGACCAGAGGGATTTGCTGCACGCCCTACTCCACGAAAAGGACCCGAAGACAGGCGAATCACTTACAGACAGCCGGGTCATCGACGAGATAATCAACATTTTCATCGGCAGCGCCACATCCCCGAATCTCCTATCCTTCACTCTGTACTATCTAGCCAAGAACCCAGACGTGGTCACTCGTGCCCGTCAGGAGATTGACACCCTCCTCGGTCCCTCCGGCCAAATCGAACACTTCCATCTCTCGCAATTGCCCTACTGCGAGGCCATCCTCCGCGAATCGTTCCGTCTCTGCGCCACAGCCCCGGGTTTCAACATCGAGCCGTTGCCCACCCATGGTCCGGTCATACTCGGAGGAGAATACGAGATTCCCAAGACCCAGCCCCTGATTGCAATTCTGTCCGCTGTCAACCGTGACCCTGCTGTCTTTGATGACCCCAATGCTTTCAAGCCTGAGCGCATGCTCGGTGAGGCCTTTGATCGGCTCCCAATCGGTGTAAAGAAGGGGTTCGGGAACGGGAAGCGGGAGTGTTACGGTAAGCGGTATGCTTGGGAATGGTCGTTGCATGCGCTCGTTCGCATCATCAAGGATGTGGATTTTGAGTTGGCGGATAAGGAGTATACATTTGATATGGAAGGGAAGAATTTCAATGGCGCTTTTAGTGTCAAGCCATATGGCATGTTTGCAAAGACTAAGAAGAGAAGCCCTGCCCTTTAGTTTATATGAGATAATATCATGTTTTGAACGTCCGGTTGTGTTAATCCCATGTTCTGCTTTCTTTGTTTGACAAATTGCCCTGCGAGAAACTGTTTTCGGCATTCATAAAGCCGATTAAGATATTAATTTTGTTTCCTGCATTTATACTCTGCGTATAACATTCCGAGACATTGGAGCCCAGCTCAACCAATATAACCGAAGCTTCTCACACAGCAGTCCCGTCTGTCTTCTCCTCGTTTTTAGACCACAATCGTTTCACCAAAGCTCTGGTAGAGTGCTTCGCTCCACCAATCTCATAGAGTGGCCTGTGTTCCTCGTTGACATCATGCTCATAATCATAATCGACATGCACAAAGGCTCGCTCGACGTCCGCGAGACCTTCCAACTTCCGCTGCAGCGCTTGGCTTACATCGTGAGACTCCCGAAGCTTAGTCTCAGGGTCCATGACGATATCAACCTCAACATAGAGTTGCTGTCCGGAGTGATAAGCGCGACACTATGCACTGTTAGTCAAACGCCAATAATATACCCACCTTCACAACTCACCGTATCCACCTTCTGAATCCTCTGGTCGTGCGTCAACGTCACATAGACACACTAATTCAGGAATTCACGCGGGGCACACTTGCCCACAATCAACCACATATTATCAAACGCAGTCGACGCCCACGAAAACAAGATAAGCAGCGCAATGCAGCAAGCACCAATGGGATCAAGATACCAGACGAACCGATCACCCACAATCGACATGATCAACCCAAACCCATTAACAGCCAAGTCATTGCGGTGGTCAATGTAAAAGACATGCGCAGCCGGGTATCGCCGCAAGCCATAGCAGTACAAGAACATACAGAACTTGGAGAAGATAGCGACACCCACGCAGACCAGCGGCACGAGATCCAGCTGCTCGGACTCAGTTTTTCCCGCCGCAAGCGCCTTGGCCGATTCTATGATCAGCTCCACCGCCACGATGGTCATCAACGCGCAGAACATGATGACGCCCATTGTTTCGACGCGACGCCGGCCAACTGGGTACTTGTATGGCTTTGGGCGCGAGGACATGCGCGACGTGACTAGCATCACAACCGACGAGACGAGGTCCATGAAGGCGTCTGCGGCGGTGGCGAAGAGCGCGAGAGAGCCCGTGGTGACGGCTGCGTAGAGCTGGATGACGAAGAGGAAGAAGTTGACTGTGAAGCTGGCGCGCACGGCGAGCTTTACTTTGCCGCCGTTCTGGGCTGATTGATTGATTGATTGATTGATTGATCTTATACCTGTTGCAGCTCTTTCTAGCGTCGAATGTGCTATGCAGGTCGGTGCGCCCTATCTGGCACCGGAAGACCTTTTTTCCTAACGCCGTTTCCCGAGGTAATGACTGGATAGGCCTTCCTTAGTGCTTTAAAGCGACTAGGTGCCCCATTTAGTTACATAATGTGTTTTTTTGAATTCGCTGTGACATAAGGCGCCCCCTATAACTCAGATCGTCCATGTTGGCATATCAAATACCCATGCTGTTAACCCCAAGAACAGCCCATCACATAGGGAACTCCACGTATAGTGATCCGAGTTGTATCACTAGTACATAGAGTGGTATGCTAAGGCCGAACCGAGGACAGGGTTCCCCTCCCGCCTTTTATTGCGTCCACAGTAAGCTACCCCTACTTCGGATCCACCATCCAGGTCCTAGCCAAGTCAACCAAGGCATAGGCTTTCGTCGGTGGGTGTCTCAAAGTAGAAATTGTGCCGGTGACAGGATTCGAACCCGTAGCCTCCACGTTTTCATGCTAGGTCCCCAACTAGCAGTCCGCGCAGAGCCTAGCCTAGTAACGCACCGCCGTTCTGGGCTTCGTCTTCGGCTTTCAGGCGCTCTTCCTCGCCGGCTGTGAGGAAGCCCTCGATCATTTCATTTTGCTCTATGTAGAATCCCGTGAGCTTTTCCTTTTCGTCGCTGAAAGAGATTGGGACCCAGTTCTTTTTTGGTTCGGATATAGTTGTTTTGTATTGGTTGAGGTTTAGAGGGTCGTGGAAAAGCGTCATTTTGTCGGTTTGGGGAGGCCAAGAGTAGGTTGATGTAGGACTCTGATGGTACGGAAGGTAGGGCTCGAGATGAAGATCAGATAAGACAAAAAATCTTCCGCCATCTAAGGTTTAAGGGTAAGCTCACGCCAAGGCCTCCGGTGTCTCAAACAACTTCTGCGCCTTGGCATCGTGGCAGTGCCTGCAGAGTTTCTCTTGGCTTAATGGGATTGACGAGTCAGAGCATATCACCCCTATTAAATTAGTGGGAATCCTGGGGGTCTCGGGGTCTCTCCGAAGCTAGAGCTTCCAATCCCGTGAGGACTTGACAGCTCATCTCGGTGGTTTATAAGCAACAATTTGCCAACAACACAGATTCATGTGGGTTCTAGAAACAGAAATCACGAATAATTACTCCTGTAAGGCCTATGGTGCCATTGGATCTTTGTGTGGACACGAAATTGTTACTTTCATAGCGTTGGGCATCTCTCATTGATATATTTCTCCGGATATATATCCACAATTTTAGGATCCAGAAGATGCAGAACAACTAGATAATTTTTAATAAACAGATACTGGCGCAATATATAAAGCATATAACTTCAGGGTCCATTTCTCCAAGCTTCCAAGCTTCTAAGCTTTTATAGTACCAAGACACAAACCTTGGAACCAAATAAGCTCAAACCGAGCCCTAACTAACCTTAGTAATCGACCACCTTGGATTTTAGTTCGGGACTCTTATGAATATTATGAATACCTGCCTGGATAACGCTCTTAGAGCTCTAGCCCGTGAGTCGAAATTACTTGGGTAGTTCAATCCTGTTGTGTGACCATGGAAATCGGCATCCGCTCAGGAGTAACATCCGGAGCGTTTCAAACGAACCTTGGGTGTTGCTTGATTCTATTAATTCTACAGTCTAATCTACAATGTAACTCATGCTTCGTGATATCATTTACTACTAGTAGTAGTATACTCAACCGTCATATCATAAACAGTAAAGTTTATTTTCTTGAATCTGCTTCAACTCTAAGCAGGGGGAAACCATAAGCCACCGGGTTGCCTGATGAGGTTTTCCGATTGGCGCCGTAAGGCTGTCCGCGTCAGAACGAAGTAATATCATTCCACGCTGCCATGGCTTTCAGATTCGAGACTCTCCGTGGTCAGACCTTTTCAAATATCAAGTGACGCACAGGCAGAGCAGATAGTTACACCAAGTTGACTCACGAACCTAAGAAAGAAAATCATAGCCCGTGCTTGCCCTAGAAGGTCTACAGAGAAAAACTTCCTTACCCCGTTTCCCCAGAGACAAATCGTTGAGTAAGGGCGAGTCGATCTATCACGAATCCAATAATCAAGGGAATCCATACCGAGACTATAGCTACGAATCCAAAGCTAAACTTAGGCAACCGGGGAAGTGATCCCCGTGGGTAAAAGTGAGGGGAGGGAGCTATGAGAGCTACAAACATTCCTGAAACATCCGAGCTCCCCAAGACCTTGAAAGCTCATATTCCAATCGCGGACCTTAAGCAGGCATGTTGACAGGCGTGTCACATCCAAGCTCTTGGATCAGAGAAAACTCAGGGAAATCGTCCGGTGATCAGATCATTTGACTTCCCTCCCTTCATTCCAACTCCTTAGCTACAGCTGTAACCTCGCGCGGAGATTTCGGGCCCTGGATAAATCCTAGGAATGTTGGGGCGCATTGTCACTCGGAGCTTTCTTTTACCAATTAATTTTCAATGTTTAAATAAAAGAGCTTGACAGCTCGGAGTTCAAGATCTGAAACAATCATCCACGACATTCACTGTCTTTGCAGGATATCGCCAAACATGGCCTCCAAGGTCTTACACAACAACACCAACAGCAGCTGGATGAAAGATCCAGGGCTGCGAAAACTAAACCTGGGGATTGGGTTTATGCTATCTGCATCGGCTACAGCTGGATACTGTGCTAGCATGATCAATGGCCTCCTGGTGCTTCCCGAATGTAGGCATCTTATACATCATGCTATATGGGAACAAAGCTAATCAAAGAAAACAACAGTCTCGAATTTTTTGAAAGACCTGGACACAAATGCTCGAGGTCTTATTATCGCAGCTGTCTCACTCGGATCTTTTTGCTCGTTCATCCCCGGATCTTACATCGCCGACAATCTGGGGCGGAGGATCTGCGTTCTGATCGGTTCCACTTTAGTGATCATCGCCTCGATTATCCAAGTCGCCACAAACAATCCTTGGGTCTTCTTCTTCGCTCGTGTTCTGGCTGGAATCGGAGTTGGAGTCTCACAAACTGCCGCACCATTGCTCATTACCGAATCAACACACCCACGCCAGCGACAGACCTTCACGGGTTTATATAATGCACTTTGGTTCATCGGGTCGATCACGTCGGCTGGTATTAGTTTCGCTGGACTTACCATCGTAGGGAGTTGGTCATGGAAACTCCCCTGCTTGACGCAGATCTTCTATCCGGTCCTTCAATTGGTTGGGCTTTGCTTTGTTCCCGAGAGCCCGAGATGGCTGGTCTCCCGGGGCAGGAAAGATGAGGGAATGGCTATATTAGCAAGATATCACGCTAATGGCGATGAGAACGACGAACTTGTTCAGGACGAATTCTACCAGATTTGCAAGAGCATCAACGCGGAATCGGACAAGAGCTGCCGCCGCTGGAGCAGCTTCTTCGCATCCCGAAGTAACATGCATCGTCTATCCATTTGCGTGATTCTGGGATTCATGCAAGAATGGTCTGGAAATGGTATGAATCTAAAAGGTCCCTTTTCTTTCTAATCCGATTTCTAACCAACTTTCTCCAGGCGTGGTTTCTTATTACCTAGCCCCGATCCTAGCATCAGTCGGTATATACAACGCATCTCACCAGGCCGCCATCAATATCAGCTTGCAGGTGTGGAACCTGGCATTCGCAGTCGGCGGAGCAATGGCCGCAGACCGATACGGACGACGAAAGCTCTGGCTAATTGCCACAATGTTGATGTTCATCTATCTATCCGCCGCAACGACCATGTCAGGTCTTTTCCAAGAGATGCATGTGCTGGAGGCTGGAATTGCAGTGGTTCCAATGCTTTTCCTCTTCTGCAGCGCTTACGACATGGCATACATGCCCTTGTTTATTGCATACCCAGCTGAAATCCTGCCCTTCCAACTTCGCGCCAAGGGCCTTGCCATCACACTCACCACCGACTCGATGGCTTGCTTCTTCAACCAGTATATAAACCCCGTGGCCTTGGCGGCCATCCACTGGAAATACTTCCTGGTGTATCTGGGCTGTCTTGTGATTTTCATGGCAACGATCTACTTCCTCTTCCCGGAGACTAAAGGTCTATCTTTGGAAGAGGTTGCGAGGATCTTTGAAAAGGACAAGGCCTACCAGGTGGAGAGGACGCCTTCTGATGTTTCGCAAGAGCTGCTTGTGTTCCCCAAAAAGGGCAGCACCTCGTCGTGATTGTGATTGTGAAATATGTGTTGCTGTTGCGTGTTGTAATTACGACAGTGCTCGGTCCCGAAATAGTTCGCCGCAGGTTAATCCTCGGCCGGATACTGATGTTATGTAGGTGTCTTTCTTTGCTGTTCAAAGCGTTTGGGAAAGATCAAGTCCTATAGATATGTGTTAATTCAAATTGGATGTTTCTTACAGTGATAAATTAGCCGTCAGGTCATTGTATGTAAAGCCTACATTTCTTGGGTAGTCATTGATGTGGTCGATGCAAAAGAAGAGAGGCTATTTTCAGCACGCAGGCTTAAAAATCGAAGAAGTCTCGGAAAATTACTAGATACAGTACAATTGAATGAAGACAGCTTCCCGTTATGACAAATAGTCAATAGATCAATCATTAAACCAAGGGTCATTAAGAACGTCTCTCACTGACGCTCTTGCAGACGGCTCGAAATGCAATAACCTCCCAACGATTTGTCCCAACCTCACAATGTCCTCACGTGTGAGATCAGGACTCAGCGGGCTATTGAAGTGTACATCTTCCAGCCATTCCTGCAAGTTGGGCCCGTTACTTTCTATGCCCTCCTCTGCATTCATCGTATTCCACATCCCTTGCCATCTTTCAGGTAGATCGTCGGTTGCCATTTCTCGCATTTGGCCAACGAGAATTGTGGGAGTTATCAAGAAGGTGTCGAAAGGTGGCTGGCCCGCGAACAATTCAAAGAGCTGCCAACATATCAGTCTTTTTATAAGGATTGCCAGTTGATTAACTTAAACCTACCATGCAGCCCATGCTCCACAAATCAACACGATAATCAATGCGATCTTGAAATATAACTTCTGGTGCTCGGAGAGATAAAGGTGTATGTAGTGTCTTAGGAATAGCAGTGTGTAAAAACGACTCTCCGAAGTCGATTATTTTGACAGCTTGAGCCGGATTCCAAAGCGTCTGGCATAAGGTAGGCCTCACAATATATTCGGGTATGCCAGGTTCTAGGCATTTCATATCGCGGTTTTCGCGTTTTTGGACATAGCCAATATCTGGTATTCCTAGCATCTTAATAAACCTTTCTTCCGACAAATCGTCTATGTAAGGTATAGTGAAGGCCAAATTGCGGGTATGCAAATCTATACTAGGTAAGTGCCATACCACATAAAGCATTTCTAAGACAGTGATTTACCTCCATGTCCAATCTTTCGTTGGTGCAAACTATCGAGCCCGATCAAACATTGCTTTGCAATAACCTTGGCGAGCTTTCCAGGAAGTCTCCCACCTGGAAAGCGTGTATCAATTGTATCTGGAACGTTAGACCCGAGAAGCTCATAAACGAGGCATTTATGAGATCCATTCGGGCCCTTTAGATCGAAGTCATCTAGCATATGCACCGTGTGAGGGTGATAAGATGCCAACTCTTTCATAGTTTGGAGCTCTCGCGTGTCATTTTCAGTTTCTGCAACCGAGATTTTGACAGCAACATATGTCTCTTCCCTATAAAAAGCACTTTTTCAGTCAGCTAGAACTATTTCGGGTCACACCAGCTTGTACAACCTTTGATCCCTTGCTGCCCAA